CCAGTATCTCAGTGCGCCAGTATCTCAGTGCGCCAGTATCTCAGTGCCCCAGTATCTCAGTGTCCCAGTATCTCAGTGTCCCAGTGTCTCAGTGCCCCAGTATCTCAGTGTCCTAGTATCTCAGTGCTCCAATGCTCCAATATCGTGCCTCAGGGGAGATGAGGGATCATCAGTAATCCCTGAGCAAAGCTAATGCTCTGGGGAAATGGGTGAAGAAGAGTCATCCTGTACTCGAAACTTTAACTCTGTTTATCCTTCTGACAATGCGGCTAGACCTGTTGAATTTCTGCACAATTTCTGCTTTATTGTTAAAGCTGTGGGGACAGGGTGACAAACTGTATCTTGGCCCCGGAGAAATTTAACTTCAATTCATAAATCTGGAAAGATAGACTCAGTGTTGGTGAGTGTGACACTATTGTCCATTGTTGTAAAAACCCATTTGGTCTCTGATGTTCTTTTGGGATGAAAACAGCTGTTCCTACCTGGTCTGGTCCACATGAGGCAGCAGACCCACACCGATGTGGTTGACCCCTAACTGCCCTCTGAATTTGCCCAGGAAGCCACTTAATTCAAGGGGTAATTAGGGACACACAGTAAATGCTAGCCTCCCCAGAGACACCCACATGCCCTGAATGAATGAAGAGAACTGTCTGTGTTTACCTGATGGTCTGGCACTTCAGTGACAGGCCCTGTAATCTGCTCTCCATATTCTGGGATTGTTTTAGTGGGATCTTCATTAATATTCCCTAGGATGTCATCATAATATGGATATTCGTAATAATAATTATCCACCGTAGGCTGTGAAGAAAATAACAGGCACTTAGAGCACAGCTCGGGGGTGAAAGTCAGACAGTGCTTCCTCAAAGTCGTCCACAGACACTGTGGCGGAGCCCAAAAGACATTTGTGGGAGAAAGGGATAGGATGGGGGTGGGTGGAATGGGGGGTGTGAAGGAGTTGGGGCAAATGAAAGGACGGGAAAATAGCAGAGTAGGGAAGGTCACTGGGGACAGGAGAAACGAACATGAGTTAAAACGGGGAAGGGTAGAGACGGAGAGAGAGATGTAAGGGGGAGGAACTGGGGCAAATGGGGGGGTTAGAGAGATGGAGAGGGAGATGTAAGGGGGAGGAATTAGGGCAAGAGAAAACAAAATATTTCCTACCTTGAGGCCTTATCCTTTTTTGAAGTGTGTTTAAGGACTCTGATCCCTGAAGCAGCTGTCAAAGATCACAGTAAACTCCCAAATAGGGCATTTGGGGACCACCTTTGGGAGTCGGTAGTGGAGACAAAGCCAGAGCTCTGTGCGGAAACTAGGCCCCTGCTTTAATCCTTTGAAACAGGCCAGGACATTAAATTGAACCCAAGGATGTGAGAAAAAAATCTGCTTAAGGCCTCGTGGTATATTTAAGGCTCACGTACTTTCACAGGAGACCAAGGGATGTTCTAAATATTTACACAAAGCGTTCCGAAAATCTCTCTCTGTAAACATCATGATGCACCAAAATGATGGAATGCAACCATTATATGTGGCAGGGTCAGTCAGAGTTCACTTCTCTCAATCTCCAAAAATAGGGAGGTAAAAGAGAGCTGCTGGAGGGTCAGTGCTGACAAAGAGGCCTTTGAGGGACTGACCTCCCTCCAGCCGCCTATACCAACCTGGGGTCGGTGGCACGGGCCTTAGCTGAGCCCTCGGTCAATAAATTGGTTATCCCAGTCCGTGGTCTCATGCCCACAGTCATCTACCCACCTGTCAATCTCAACCCCAACATCCTGCTGGAGTCACAAACAAAAGATTCACTTCCAGGACATGGTGAGCAGCAAAGAGAAGCCACAAGCCTGTCTCAGTAAATAAGGGGTTTGTTTTTTATTTCATTTTCTTCTCAAATTTCTGTTTATTAATGAGCAGGAGGAGAATGAAATCACCGGGATGAAAGGGGAAGGGGGAGGGTGAGTGTTAGGGTGGAGGAGGAGGTGGGTGTGTGTGGCTAGGGCTGAGGGCAGTTGGGGAGGGGAGTGGGATGCAGCAGTTGTGGGCACAGGGGTGTGGGGGTGTGGGGGTGTGGTTTGAGGAGGCGCTGTGGCTGGGACTAGGATAGGGGGAAGTATGTCAGCATTCCGACCAGTGTTTGGTGTCTCGGATTCCAAGTCTTAGATTGACCAGGACAGCCCAGGTCGGCCTCGAGGGTTGCAGAACTGGAGATGAGTTTCCTGCTTATGTCTGTATGGAGAATGGGAAAGCTCTGGGAGAATTAGGTGCCTTTCTCCTTTCTCTTTGAACAGTTTCAATCATAAATTCTATAAGATATTGGGCATTGGGAAATGGCCTATCAAGAAAGAGTATCTCTGATTGAGCTCTCCACTTTGTCATGACCATATGAGGCATTATTAGGATGGACGAATGATGGGGATGGACAATAGGGTGACCAATGGCAAGGAAATGGAGGTAGGTCTGGTGAATGATGCCAAGTCACTTGACATGGCCTCCTGGAAGATGGTCGAGGACAAGTTGGCAATCCCAACAAACACTGGGAATGGCGTTCCGTTGGGGAACAGTGAGAAAACCCTGTACAAAGCCCATCAAGGAAGGAGTTACTTACGTCGTAATTATCAAGGTTGGGATCCTGAGACTGTGGTGAATCAGGCAGGGGACTCTCACAGTCTGGGCTGTAATGTTCACAGTAATCGTAAGCAGCTCGGTGGTCAGGCACAATCAGGAGTTGCTGGATTTCACCCTGAAACAAGGAGAAAGATCACATCAGTGAGAGGAAACAGACTGGACCGGGACCATTCACAATAATCCTCCACTTACTATCTTCTTGTTTTAGCAGCAATCTTCAGTAGAGGAGGAGGCCATTCATCCCATCAAACATGTTCTGGCTCTCTCTCCAATTAATCCACTCCTTCCTCCCTGCTGTTCTCCTATTGCTCTACAACTTCCCCCTTTTCCGGTGTTTCTCCAATTCCCTTTGGGAAAGTTCCTGTTGAATCTGTTCCCACTGCCTTTGCAGGCAGCATGCCCCAGAACACAACAACTCATTGCATCAAAAGCATTCTCCTCTTCTCCACCTCTGGTTCTTTTACCGATTCCCTTCAATCTGTGTCCCTCTGGGCACTGACCCTGCAGCCCATGGATATACTTTCTGTAATATTATTGTTTTTTTTGTGGTTTTCAGACAGTTTCTCCCTCACTGAGGAACACCTCAGACTATTTCACATGCAATGAACTCTGAGTCGTGCAGATAAATATAGCAATTATTCTTCAGACAACAAGGATCCTGCAAACACCCAGCAGCTGAACACTGTGGTCAGATGACCTAAAGATTTATAGCTTTATAGAACCCCTACAGTGTGGAAACAGGCCCTTCGGCCCAACAAGTCCACACCGACCCTCACAGCATCCCACCCAGACCCATCCAATCTACACATTGCTGAACACTATGGGCAATTTAGCATGACCAATCCACCTAACCTGCACATCTTTGGACTGTGGGAAGAAGCTGGAGCACCCGGAGGAAACCCACGCTGACATGGGGAGAATGTGCAAATTCCAGTCTCTCGCCCATTCCCTGATTCCCAGTGCTCCAACACTGGTAGTTGTGCCTTCGGCTGCCTGCGTCTCGAGCTTTGGAATTCCCTCCTAAACCTTGCCATCTCTCTATCACCTATTAAGAGGGTCACTAAAATCTCCCCTTTTGATCAATCTCATTACTGCTTGACCTATTGTCATCTGATATTCGTTGGTGTCAAACCTTTGCCTGATGTCCTGTGTTGTCCCTTAGCACACCTTGTCTCATTAAAGGTGCTATATTAATGAAGGTTGCTGTTCAAGAATGGGGAGGACACCAGGAGAATCCTTCAAAGAGCATCATGCAACCTCCCACAGTCTGTAGACAGGGCAGCAGCCCATGGGGTGGGTATTGCAGGCAAGACCAGATTGGTGGCTGATCCCTAATTGCCCTAAACCATTTCAGAGGGCAGGCACAAATCAACCATATTGCTGTGGATCTGGAGTCACATGTAGGCCAGACCATGTAAAGATGGCAGAATTCCTTCTCTGAAGGATATTTGTGAACGAGATTGGGTTTCTACAACAACTGATTAATATCTCATGGTCCCATCTCTGTGACCAGCTTAGCATTCCAGATTATTACTTTGACCTTAAATTCGACCTGCTGCTGTGGTGTCTCTACAAGGTTTCTTCCCACCAACTCTGAGAACTTTGTCCACGTCAATCAGGTCCTTCTTCAACCTTCTCTGCTCCAAAGAAAGCAACCTGAGCCGATCCAGCCTCTCCGCCTAGTCAAACTGCCCCATTCCAGGCAAAACCCTGGTGAATTGCCTCTGTACTCCCACCAGTGCAATCACATCTCTCCCTCCAGTGCAATCACATCCTTCCGAGAGTGCTGTGACCAGAACTGCACACAGTCCTCCAGCTGCAGCCTAACTACTGTTATATATAGCTCCATCATATCCTCTTTGCTCTATATTCAATACTGTCACCAATAAAGGCGAGTGTCCCATATGCCTTCTTAACTACCTATCGACCTGTCCTACTGTCTTCAATGATTTATTGATGTGCACACCGAGGTCCCTCTGACCCTCCGTACTACCTGAGGTTCTACCATTCATCATGTACTCCCTTACCCCATCAGTACTCCCAAAATGCATCACCTTATACTTTTCAGGATTAAAGTCCATTTGCTATTCTTTGCCCGTCTGACCAGTCCATCCACAGCTTTCTGTCCACTCTGTTTCAAACCGTGTGTCAGATGGAGCCTGGGATTACAATCATTGATTATCTAAGGTTTTGGAGTAGGTTTGTAGCTCGGGTTGTGGGTGTTGAGGTTGGTTGGCTCGCCGAGCTGGTTCGTTGTTCCGCAGATGTTTCATTACCCTGCTGGGTAACATCATCAGTGCAGCCGGAAGTAGAGTTGTTCGCGGGTTGCGCTCTCTACACCAAAACTACACCAAACGAGAGAGCGCAACCCGCGAACAACTCTATTTCCTACATGGATGCCTCAGGAACCAGGTATTACCACGCAGTGTGAGGTACAAACCACCCATCAACAACCCATAAGCCCAGAAAACAGCAGAACAAAACGGCCGCAAGATGGTAAGGGTAATGATAAACGACGCACAAAACTGGCTCCACAGATACAACAGAGAAATTACGCGCCAAACAACTTTATTCCTGGAAGCTACCAATCAAGACTGGACAACGGACATGGAACGAGCCATCAACATCAGCCAACAGACCACAAGAGCCAAGAAAAGACAAACTCTGCAAGACAAGCTAGCCACACTTACCCACAAAAACAACAACAACAGAACAGACACATGGATAAGAAACCTCTCCGACAGGAAACTGACAGACGTGGAAAAAGCCGTTCTCACCCGGGGACTGACCTACAACTACAGGGACGCCAACAAAATGGAATTCCTAGCCACACTGGAAGCCACACTGAGGACCAGCAATATCAACGAAGAAACACAACAAACGATAAGATGGACAGTAATCCCAACACTAAGCAGAAGGAGCGAACTCAACACCCTCAACACATTGGAAAGACAGGCCCTGGAAGAACTGAAGAAGGACAAGAGCATCACCATACTACCCGCAGACAAAGGGCGCATGACTGTAATACTGAATAAAAGGGACTACATCTCCAAGGCACAGGCATTGCTCGCTGACGAAAACACATACCGGCCAGTACAGACTGACCCAACACCACAACTAGGCAACAAAATCCTCTACACGCTAAAAAGACTTAAACAAACAGGACAGATCAACAAAGCAGACTTCTTAAGAACGAAACCCGAAGGTACCAACACACCCTGATTCTATGGCCTCCCGAAAGTACACAAGCTGGAAGTCCCCCTCAGACCCATAGTCTCCCTACCAGGCACTCCATCACACAGATTAGCCAAGGAACTACAAAGGAGACTCAGGCACTGGTCAACAAGTCACCCCACTCTATCCACTCAGCCCAAGAATTCCTCAACTCCATCAAAGGCATAAGGATAGACAACGGGGAGACCATGATATCGTTTGATGTCATTGCCGTATTTACATCAATGAACATACCACTAGCAAGGTAAACAATGACAGCACTACTGGAACAAGAGCAAGACCCCAGTGAAACCATCTCCACAGACAACATGCTCAAACTACTGGACCTATGCTTCACCACCCACTTCACTTTCAACAGCCAAACATACGAACAAATCAACGGGACACCCATGGGATCACCTATCTCCGGACTCATAGCAGAGGCAGTGATGCAAAGACTAGAAAGGACAGCCCTTCTGCTAATCCAGCCAAAACTACGGATACACTACGTGGACGACACCTTTGTCATCATTAAATGGACCAAACTAGAGGAGACACACAAACTTATAAACAACACCCGCACCTGAATAAAATTCACCAGAGAGGAGGAGAGGAACAAACAGCTCCCATTCTTGGATGTCATGGTAGAGCACAAGACAAATGGGGAACTGCAAACGAAAGTACACCGAAAAGCCACACACACAGACCAGGTACTGAACTTCAACAGTAACCATCCCAGCACACACAAATGAAGCTGTGTGCAAACACTATTTAAACAGGCAACAACACACTGCAGCAACACAGAACTATGCCAAGAGGAAGAAGAATACCTCTTCCAGGTTTTCAAGGATAACGGATATCCAAAAAAACTGGGTCAGAAGATGCCTACACGAACAACATCAGGAAGATACTACACGCCCCGACACACTCATCACACTACTCTACATCAGGAACACATTGGAACTAACCACAAGACTCCTACGACCGCTGGGCATCAGAGTGGCACACAAGCCCACATCAACTCTACGACAACTGCTCACCCAAACTAAAGACCCACTCCCCGCCATGGACAGGACCAATGTCATCCACAAAATCCCCTGCAGAGACTGCGAGAAACACTACATCAGACAAACAGGAAAGAAACTAACAACAAGGGTACACGAACACCAACTAGCTACAAAAAGACACGACCAATACTCACTCATCTCAATCCACGTGGATAAGGAGAACCACCAATTCGACTGGGACAACACCAAAATCCTGGGACAAGCTAAGCAGCAGCTAAGGCACAGGAATTCCTAGAAGCCTGGCACTCCACGAAGAAAGCCATCAATAAACACATAGAACTCAACCTCATATACACTCCACTACGAAGGAAAACCAGAAGTGAGGCAATCCAGCTCAACAGACTCCAGAGGTTAAAAACCAGGCGGGAAAACACACCGACGCTTCATCGGAGGCTGCACTGAGGATGTTACCCAGCATGGTAATGAAACGTCTGCGGAACAACAAACCAGCTTGACGAGCCGACCAACCTCAACAATCATTGATTATTTTAATGGAGCCTCATAGTTCACGAAAAGAGTCTTTCATTTCAAAAACAATTACAAATCCTGAATATCAGAAACCATTGACTGATAAGGACCAGAATGGACAGGAGAAGGATTGTTAAAATACAAACTTTAACCTTTGTTTCATGATGTAATCTAGATATTTAACAGAAAATGGAAAATAACAACGTGAACTTGTTACAAAGAAAGACAAATCATCAATATTAGTAACTCATGAAATTCACATCTGCCTCAAGCTCAGAGGAAGCAAATTCCTTCCCAGTTTAAGAATCTTCTTGAAAACCTAACTCTTCAGATGACACTTTCTTCATGAATCCTTATCCTCAACAGC